TGTCCGAGCCTCAAACTTAACAAGATTGCGTGCATGCACTGAACTGAAGGATTATTAAACCCTGTACTGGGATTAAAAATATGCATTATTTCACAAGATTATCTTAAACTTACAACAGAAATTTTTTTTACAGTGTTATAAATGCACATTATTCCTTCACCCTACTACTCACTTTCAGTTAAAGGTCATGGCTACCTTTTATAGCGAGAGAAAGAATTGGGATTTAAAGTTCATTTGACACAAACTAGATCATTTTGGGACTAACATATACATTCACTTGATTTGATATGTGTTTTTCATTTCTTGCAATTTCTATGTATTCTGTCTTGTCTGTAGGTTTATCTTGTAAATTTTGTGTTGTATGTAGTACGTTCCTCCTGCACTTAAAATATGGTTCAATATTATTTTAACAGTTCCTTTACACGTAAGGGTCTTTAGCAGCAGGAGGAAACCAGAGGACCCTTTGCCATGTACAAGCAGGAAACGAAACCACGCCAATTGTCTCAATGACAGACATTAGGATCTAAAGTCCATGCATTAAACCATTTGGCCACCAAACCCCCAGTTTTACTAGATAAAGTTAACAGTAGTGTTACCTGTCGATTAGAATCAGTTGCTGTTACTCTTATAACACTGAAACCAGTTGTTCTAGATTCTAGAACGGATGTAGAGTAGGAAAGTGGTGAGAATACTGGTGCTGCATCCCGCACTATATTTACAGTTACACTCGCTGCAGCTGATTTTTCTGGATTATTTTGGTCACGAACACTACACTGGAACTGATAATGTGCATATCAAATTATAAACGTTCATTATCAAAAGCCAATAACCACAAACAAGTATATATAATAAGAGATTGTTGTTAACTACATTTATTATATTGAGAGGGAGAAATGAGGTTTGGAGCCACGGTGGCTAGATGGGTCAGGCGCTGGCTCGCCAGCCTGGAGGTCGGGTGTTTGATCCCTGCATTGGCCGAGAAAGTTCATCCCGATTTTCCGACGTGGTTTCCCCTGTCAGTGATGCAGGACGGAGGGCCTGACAAGGACAGCTGTCTAGTCCTTCAGATGAGACGAAAAACCGAGGTCCCGTGTAAACATTGGAATGCACGAAAAAGATCCCTTGGCAGTTGGAATTCGATATAAGAGTAGGTGATAGTGCCGCTGCCCTTGCAAAATTTCCCTCATAGCACACTGTATGGCGTATGCCCGTCTTCATTAGCCCAGTATAGGAGCAGAACAGTAGGACGTTAAACCCCATTTCATTTCAGAAATGAGGTTTAAAGTCCACTAGACACTGTTAAATAGATACAGAAATCTAATGAAATGGGGTTTAATGTCCTACTGTTCTGCTCTGAACTGGACTAATGAAGACGGGCATACGCCATACAGTGTGCTATAAGGGAAACTTTGCCCGGCCTACACTTATATCAAATTCCAACTGTCAAGGGATCTTTTACGTGCACACCAATGTGTACACAGGACCTTGGTTTTTTGTCCCATCCAAACGACTAGACAGCTGTCCTTGGCAGGCCCTCAGTCCTGCATCACTGACAAGAGGGAACCACGCCGAAAAGTTAAATAGATACACAGGTATGTATAAGTTCTTTATTGCACATATAACATATCATATTGTACATCATTACATAGTAAAACCACACATATATTATGCATTAATACTCATCGTTCAGTCCTCACTACTCTGCTCGAGATCTCATGCAAGCCGGGAGACATCCCAGCAGCTCCTCAAGATCACCTGACCTGTAAGCTAGCAGACGACACAAACTAGGTAATTTCTGGACAAACATATGGTACAATTTTATTTCAATAATTCACTTGCATGTAAGGGTCTTTTTAGCAATAGGAAAAAACAGGAAGAACACAAAAAAACCATGAGGGTGGTCAGGTGACCCTATGCCTTGTCACATACAAGCATGGGAACGAAACCACGCCAATTGACTCAATGGCAGACCGTGTGATCTACAGGTAGTCTGACCTTTTAAAAATTCTTATACTGTAAAAAACAAAACAAAGAGCTTGGCAAGGAACATTGTCCAGTTGATCGGATGGTACAAAAAAGTCTATTGTACATGTTGGAGTGCATGTAAAAAAAAAAAAACCTTCACAGTTGGATTCTGAAATAAAATTAGGCCATAGCGCCACAGTCCAGGCAAAATTTCAGCCATAGCACACTGCATTGGACAATTAGTGCAAAAAATAGGACGTTATTAAATAACCCTTCACAGTCGGAATTTGAAATAAAATTAGGCATTTTCGCCATAGCACACTGCATTGCATATGCCCATCTTCATTACCCCAATATAGTGCCGCAGTCCAGGCAAAATTTCCGCCATAGCACACTACATTGCATTAGCCCAATTTGTTCAGAAAAGACTGACATAAAACTTTTTTTCATTTCATACTGTAAATACTTACATTGAATTGGTTACCATTGATATTACTTCCAATGAGAGTAGTTTTTAATGAAACTAGACCATTAACAGGATTGATGTAGAAGTAGGCAATATTTTCAGGTGCCCCAATAATACTGTATATCAACTCATCCTAAATACATACAAACATTTTTAATTCATTCATACACTCATATCAAGGTTCAATTGAACATACATTATATAAGAGCTAAATCTGCCAATTGCAGGTCTTTCTTTAGGCCTGAAATATTATCTAAATTATTAATTAGACATTAACTTATCCGGACCATAATCAACTCTCGATGTCATCGCTAGCCTGTGATATTTACTGGATTAGAACATGGTCTGCCGCTGCTGATTAAATCATAAAATGGATAATTGAGACTATGTTTTTAATCGTACTAACTTTAGTAATGATGATCGAGGATAGGCCCAAAATTTTAGCAAATTCCCTTTACATTATCTATTTTTTAACTACAGTTCTGTATCTAATCTCCCATAATGTATCTTTAAATTATTGAATTAATGAATTAATAATATAACTTTTTTGTATATACTTTTTTCATGAATTAGTTATATGACTTTTTTGTATATATTTTTTTGTAAAATATAAGCGAGATTATATAGGCCTTGTCTGTTCCTCAATCCTTTTCTGAGAAAAAATATCGTTTATATAAAAAATATGTGAAAAATTTCTTACAATGATTGCCAATAGTTTTTGAAACTGAACTTAAAAATTCCATCACACAGTTTTCTTTAAACTAAAAATTTACACAACACCAATCCAACTACAGATGAATTGTGACTTCAATCTGGATTGCCAATTTCGGCAGATAGTTATAAATTACAATTGTCAAATTGTTATTATTAAAAACCCCATCGTCATGACTTACCCCATCAGCATCAGTAGCATTGCAATGAACAATTGAAGTACCTAATGCTATATCTTCTGTTACTTGACGATTATATGATGTGGGACTGAATACAGGAGTGCTTGGATTTCTATCCACTGTAATAGTAGCTGTAGCAGTAGCTCTAGCGTTGGGATAAGCATTATCATATGCAATAATGACCACCTAAATATTAAAATATTGATAATAATCAAAGTTCAGAATTATACAGACATACATACTAGGCTAGATATAGTAATCATATCTCATCATATCCCATCATACATTGTGTACCATTGACACTCTGATGGAAGAGTTTCCTCCCCTTTATTAGTTATTGGAGTTCTTTGGGGTTATCTCTCATTGTGCATTTACTTAGGAGGTTACAATCATGCGATGTGGAATTCGGTCCTGTCACAGTTCTGTCAGTCGCAACAACAGAGGTGGTGTGAGTAGAATCATGAAGTAATTAGACACTAGGAACATATTTCAGCTGTTATGGATGGTTGACATATTTAGTACAAATCACACTATAGCCTACTCAAATTTTAATTTTAATCAGTCAATATGGACAAAAACTGGAAGGAAGAAACATGCAAAACATACTACCCAAACCCAACTTAAATACTTTATGCAAGTCTTATATTCAGAAAGACATCTTAAAAGCATAATCGTGACAAATGAGTGTTGTGAGGAATAATAAAATAAATGTTATTTTACCTGATAGATTGTTGTTTTAAGACTATCCAGACTGACACTTCTAGCCAGACTAATCAAACCATTAGAATTAATACTAAAGAAAGCAGGAGCTGGATATTGACCTACTATTTCATACCTTATTTCACCCTGTAATAAAATCATTCGGTTTTATACAACGCAATTTAAAATTAGAGTCTCTATTAAATTTGATATTAGACAATCTATACCATAATTAGATTTCTATAGAAATTGATACTAGAAATTCTATCAAATTCATGTGTAATTGATACTCAAAATTCTATCAAATTTATGTGTAATTCTATGATATCGCTGGAATTTCTGTCAAATTTGTAACCAGAATTCTTATTAAATTTGATACCAATTTGTTCTATTAAATGTGATATCAGAAATTTCTATTAAATTTGATATTAGAATTTCTATTAAATTTGATATCAGAATTTCTATTAAATTTGATAATAGAATTTCTATTAAATTTAATATAGAAATTATATAAATTTGATATTAGAAATTATATAAATTTGATATTAAAAATTATATAAATTTGATATTAAAAATTATATTAATCTGGAAATGAGATGATATGGGGTTTAATTTCTTACTTTTCTGCACTGACTGGGATAACGTTCTATGAGGAAAATTTGCCCAGGTGCTACAGCCTACACTTACTTCCAATTATAACTGTCAAAGTTTCTTTTACGTGTACGGCCATGTGTACACAGGACCTCAGTTTTCGCATTATCTGACTAATTAGACACTGTCTTTGCCAGGGTCTCCGTCCTGCACCGCTGACAATTGAAACTTTCTCTGTCAACACCTAGACCGAACTCAAGACCTCCTAGTTACAAAGCCAGCATCTAACTCCCTTCCGAGGACATGTATATAAGATTGAAAATAAATTATTACTTACCACTCTATCAGTGTCTACAGCTGTGGTACTGACAACATTGGAATTTACTTGTGTTCTTTCAAAAATATTAGCAGTGTATGGTGCATTGATAAATTCTGGAGGAGCTGAATCGCGAGTAATAATAATATCAGCAAATACTGTATCACTCAATTCTGGTACATTTTGATCACGCACTCGAATGGTAATCTGAATGTTAAAGATACATTATGGGGGATTAGATAAAGAGCTGGTAGTTCTCACTATAATAGTTAAAAACTAGATAATGTAAATGGAATATGCTGAAAATTTCAGTCAAATTGATCCACTCTGAACCGAGAATTCAGCGATTCAATTTTGGGCCTAGCCTTGATCATCATTACTAAAGTCGGTACGATAAAAAACATAGTCTCAATTGTCCATTTTTTGATTTATTCAGGTTCTAATCCAGTAAATATCACATGCTAGCGATGACATCAAGAGTTGATTATGGTCTGGATAAGTTAATTAATGTCTAATTAATAATTTAGATAACATTTCAGGCCTAAAGAAAGACCTGCAATTGGCAGATTTAGCTCTTGCATAATGTATGTTAAAATAAATCATTATTGTAATGTTCGGATATGAATATTTCAACATACAAATTATGATAAATACTATGCTTTTTATCACTGTTAGAAGTTTAAATGTTTGGAAAAAGTAACTTAAAAGATGCATTGTGCTGGCTAAATCTGCCTATTGCAGGTCTTTCTTTATGGTCAAAAGGTTACATACATTATTAATAAGACATGTATTAACTTGTCGAGACCATAATCAACTCTTGATACCACCAGATGCTCTATATTTTCAACAGATTTAAATATGATTTAATTAAAAAATGGATAATCAGGACTGTTTACTATTGTAAAAACGGTAGCAATGATAATCAAGACTCTGCTATTTTTCCAAACAGCCCTAACATCGCTCAGAATGACGTAATTTGACTGAAATTATCAATATATGAAACACATATGAAAATACAATTTACTGGCTGTTTACTCGGCATTGCAGGGGTAGAGCCCTCCGACACTTCCTTAAAAGATTGTTGTGAAACCAGTAGTGGGAGTGCACCACCACAAGGCCTATGTCACTCTCCAGATTGAGCTGCCCTTATACCCCAAATTTTAATTGCCACCAACTGCAAAAGGACGGAAGACATTCACAAGTATATATATAGAGCAGCAATTACGCTGTTTGCTGCTGTGAAGATAGATAATGTATAGATATATAGCATGTATTTTGTCATATCCTACCCTGTCTGTTCTTTGTGTGCCAGTTGTCAATACTTTCTTGAGGGAGATAACTCCAGTTCTACTATTGATGAAATAGTACTCAAGAGCTCGATTATCACCAAGTATTTCATAAAATAACACATCCTAAAAAAAAACAAAAAAACAATTTAATATATGAAGAATAAGTGAGCCAAAATTATTTAGAGATGAGACAATCAGAGATTTATTTTTTGAGGTATTTATATGATATGATAACATACATATGTAAATTCTACTGTGAATACATGGTAAGATATCAAAATGGCAATCAGCATTCAGTTCTGACGTTTAATTTAAAATACCAGTTCTGGTAAATGCCGATTTGTCAGTAATCATTAAAAATAGATTGCCAGGCAACGAAACATAGTCCCACAGCAGCTAAATCATCCGGGCAGTCAACAAGTGTTGTCGCATATTTTTACTTTTTCCGGTAATGAAACATTTATAATACACTAAAATCTGATTAAGAGTAACAACTCATGAAGTAATTATAAGAAAACCATCAAAATTTATAAAGTTCTGCCCCATGCTAACGTTTAGTATACAAAACTTTTAATATCATGGATTTAGCTGTTCAGGTCATAAAAATTCACTGAAAATCAATATACTTTTTCGTCTCACGATCTTAAACTCTGTGTATCAATCTGAAGTCAATCGGGTGATAACTTTAGCCTCTAGAGCGTCACAAGATTTTTCCAAGTGATCAAGGACCATAACTTTGGCAGTAATTATTAGAAATCGTTGAAAATCAATAGGATTCTTCATCTCATGACCTCAAACACTGTGTATAAATTTAAAGACAATCGGATATCAACTTTAGCCTCTAGAGTGTCCACAAGATTTTTCAATGTGATCAAGGGCCATAACTGAAAATCAATAGGCTTCTTCGTCAATCGGATATTAACTTTGGCCTTAGAGCGTAAAGAAGATTTTTTGAAGTGATCAAGGGCCATAACTCTGGCAGTGATTATCGGAAATCGCTGAAAATCAATAGGGCTTTTTCGTCTCATGGCCTTTAACACTTTATATAAATTTAAAGTCAATCTGATATTAACTTTAGCCTCTGCAGCTAATAAATAACTCTTAACCAGAACGTTCAGACAGTAATATTTCTTTATTCTCATTTATCTGTGATAAAAATAAAAGTTAATCTAATTGTTTTAGTTATGTGTAAATCTGGATCTACTTGTAAAAAGTCTTAAATTCTTTTTGCATTTGATTTTTTTTTCTTACCCCATCTTGATCAGTTGCAAACACACTAAGAACTTCTCTTCCGAGTTCATAAGATTCTGGAATTGTCTTGGCATAATTTCGTGGATTGAACGTTGGTCCTGAAGGATTTCTGTTTACACTGAGGGTTACAGTAGCTGTTGCCCGAGCATTTGGGTAAACTGAGTCATATGCAACCACATTGAGCTTTAAAAAAAAGGTAAAACATATTGTGTTACAACCCGTAAATAATCATAAGCCCACACCAATTTCAGTTTCTTTTCTGGTTTTATGTGGTTTGTAAAAACTTCTCCCTGGTCCGTTAAAATTGCAGTTTTTACAGAACATTCACATGTATATGGCAGAATGTTTTTAACGTTACTACCATCTTTTTCATTTTCAAGAAAAGTTATATTTTGAAGAACTTCAAATTTGACAATTACTGATTTTTAGATTATCAAGAGAAAATGGTGTCATTTGGATTGTCAGCTGGGACAGTTTAATTATCTAGTACCGATATTTTATGAATATGAGTCTCTTAATAAAAGGTAAATAGACTAAGGTTTAGGGATGCCCGGGGCAATCACACAAGACTCGTAGGGCTTAATACTGAGAAATGTGAAAAGAGAAGACATTTCAAATTTATCAGAATAAATGAAATAAACTTCTTATTCAAATTAAGTATATTAAAATTAATTTCACACTTTGAATGGATACTTGAGGCCGTTGCACCCTCTGTCCCCCTTTTTCCACTCCACTGAATTAAGCATTATACTTACATTATATGATGAATATCTATCAAACAGAAGTGCATTGATATCATACATAGTGATGATTCCTGAAGTCTGATCCAATCGGAAGAAAGCAGGTGCCACACCATCTCCAATAACTTCATATTGTATTGTTCCCTAAAAATACAATAACAAGTAGTTAGCTATAACAAATCCCTGCCTCATGCACAACCACGTTCAATTATACATGTTACATCACAGTAAATCTACGCTGCCTCATGCACAACACAACTCCATTATATATCACATTAAATATACCTTGCCTCATGCATAACAAAGTTCCATTATACATGTTACATCACATGTAAATCTACGCTGCCTCATGCACAACACAATTCCATTATATATCACAGTAAATATACCTTGCCTCATGCATAACATCGTTCCATTATACATGTTACATCACAGTGAATATACCCTACCTCATGATCCTTTATACATGCATACATGTTCATTATATTATTTATTACATGTTGAGTTCAAATAGCTAGCAACTATATATGAAGCAACAAAACATTTCTTTGTTGACAGTGGAAATGAAATAAAATGAAATGGGGTTTAACATCTAACTTTTCTGCTCCAACCGGGCTAATGAAAACGGGCATATGCCATGTAGTGTATTATGGGGGAAATATTGCATGGACAGTGATGGTAGAGCCTGTTCTTATTTTGAATTCCATCTGTACACAGTGCCTCCATTTTTCATCCCATCCAACAACTATAGACACTGTTCCTTGCCAGAGTCTACAACACTGACAAAGGGAAACAATGTCGGATTGAACCTGGGACCTCCAGGTTAGCCAGCCACTGCCTTACTTACTGATCCATCGTGGCTGCCTTTAAACAATGGAGACAACATAGATATATTATCGTAACGTTGTTACGATAAACAAAGTCTCTATCATCCATTTTTACGGTTAACCATGAACAGCTCTTGCATCGAAGATCGGATTCTAATCTGTTTAAAATCATATCCAATAAATAGCATTGAGAGCTGATTATGGTCTTGTCATGTTTTAATAAATGTCTAATTAATAGTTTATATAACATTTAAGTCCTACAGAAAGACCTGCAATAGGCAGATTTAGTTCTTGCATAATGTTTGTTTAAGAGAAGATTATACTGCACCCTTAAATCATTATCTCGAGCTGTAACACTGTAAATAGAAGTTCCATTAGCTGCTGATCTGGGTACGTCTTTACGATAGGGTTCATTTATGAAAAAAGGCGGACCAGTGTCTCCAGTTACTGTAATAGTCACATTACATGTGGCTGTTTTGGGTGGAGTCTGCTGATCACTAGCAATAAATTGGAACTGAAATATAAATATAAATGACATGAACGGTCTTAAGCCCCGTAAAATTACATTACCCCAGTCATTTCGAGATTAACAAGGTCATTTTTGTTAAACTACGAGATGGTGATGGTCCTTACCTCTATCCATCACGACAGATCCCCCACCCCCCACCTATATATAGCGATAGTCAAGTCTTATTGGTTAAACACCATCTTCATTAGCTCAGTCGGAGCAGAACAGTAGGAGGTTAAACCCCATTTTATTTTATTTCATTTATTGGCCAAATAATCATTAATGTTTTGGCATGGAAATCATAGAACACAGGTATGCCATCTATACATGGTTTGAGTTCAATCCCAGTGACAATTAATCGGATTACTTCCCACAATAGTTTCCTTGTTAAATATCTCTATGCATGTGTGAATTAATGAAATAAAAAAATATATCACACTTTAGTTGTGAAGAGACATGAAGAAGGACCAAGAGAAAACCCATGCGATTGGGCATGCAACCCTACTCCTAGTCACATACAAGCAAGAGATTGAACACACATGACTTGACTCAATGGAAGAACTCATAATCTTAAGTGCACAGGTTAGACAATTCAACCACCTAAACCCCCTATTTGTGAAGAGAAAGAGACAAAAACCATCTACCTGATAAACTCCAGTAGAACCAGTTAATGGAGTTCTTAGAGCTATTTGACCTGAGCGGGGATATAGTATAAATCTATCTGTAATTGATGAGCCTATTCCAGGTAAAATTCTGTAATCTATCACATCCTACATAAATACATAAACACATGATTAAACTAAAGTTGCCAGTGAACATATGTTACAAATGTGTAATCTATCACATCCTACACAAATAAGTGATAAAACCAGATTTGCCAGTCAACATATGTTAGAAATCTGTAATCTATCACATCCTACACAAATAAATGATTAAGCTAGAGTTGCCAGTCAACATATGTTTATGATATAAATACATTTAAATGAGGATTTCCATCCATGTTAATATAACAAGTTTGCAATTATAAATATTATGTAATATTATGTTAGGCTACACAAAATAAATGTCTTGTTTCTCGGGCAACTGACAGCTGAAACTATAGGGGGGGAGGGCTGGTTATTTTTTTTTTTACCTCATTTCTGGCTAGAGGATGGTGCAAAATAAAATTTGGCTATTGTTGAAAATTGTTGGGGCGGGAGGGCGGCCTTGTATTTTTTTTTTTTTTTTAATGAGAAAGTCATTACTCGTCTACGGTTTTGCTTTCAGTTATATATTATACATACATACATACAAGTCTACTCAAACACTGAACACTGACTGAAAGGAAAATAATTTTCCATATTTAATTCACGTAATGTAGCTTACTAATGGTAATGGTGACAACCATAATTAAAATTGGTTTAAAATAAAATTCCGTACGACTATTAATAGACGTCCACAATAACGACAATATTCTAAAGAATAAGCCTCTGTCAGCATGTGTATCAAAAATAATCATCATGGTAAACGACACTTAGATCTAAATCTAGTATCGCTGGTTTATAATGATTGACCTAATTCCAACCAATGCATGTCACGTGTCATCGGGATTCGGGAAATGACTGTTTCTCAGGATATTCGGTGTGTTTCTCAGGATATTCAGTGTTCTATCTGGGGTTTATATCGAATGACTATTTAAATTTAACTAACAACTGGTCAGTAAAACCATCAAATGTGTAATCCAATTATTATTTTCCGGATTATCAAAACTACCGTTAAATGTGCTAATGACCCAGATTCTGACTAAGGTATGGTGACTATCATCGTATCGTATTCGTAGTCACAAGTTATAATAATTAACCTGTTCTACGATTCATTGTTTTATAAGTAGGATTTTTTCAAACATGGACCGACGGAAGCCGGCAATAATGAGCCGATTAAGATCGAATGATTGAAATACACTGCATTGTTGTCAATGACTTTCGGTGTTTAACACAAATCAAATTCTAGTTCACAAGGGGAGGTAATTAAAATCACGTGATACAAAAATGGAGGTTCTTTCGATATCAATAAAAAAGACCCGTAAATGAGCGTTTGCATCTAAATCAGTTTAATACATTTGAATGGATATTCACGTATGGGGCATGTAGATACATGCGGCATATTCTTTTTATGACTTGCTTATCGATGTTCGGGCGGGCGTTACAAATTTTTTATTTTCATCAAGACTAATAAATAGGCCGCACGCGCAACCAATTTTGCGTGCGGGCGGTGCCCGAGAAACAACTTATTTTATTTGTGTTGCCTTATATCAAAGATCCAGATTGCCTATATTAATTTGTAAATCGTATAATCTTATTAAAATACAGATCTACATATCGTTTCGTTCTTTTATACTTTCGATGAACTACACTACATGAAGATCTGACCCATTGTAGTGATAGGTCGCGTCAGAAGTCATACCAGCGTCTTTTGACCCTATGACGTCAGACATTGATTAATCAATCAGCGTTGACGTTTCTAGTGGTTTACCCACAGTTCCGTGCACAGCAAGCCAAGAAGTTGCCATAACAGACTGTTTCATTGGCTAATCCCTCACTTCAACCAAAACGCCGGTAATGTAACAACTCTTCCAGTTCCAAGTGCATTAAAGACAAGTAAAACGAAATTTTGAACTATAAAAAACAAAATGAAATAGGATCTGTGTTTTAATCAGATTTTAAATTGTAAAACAAGTATATTTATATGAGTAGTATTAGAGAGAACCACATACATTATCTGCATCAGTAGCAGTAACTGTATATAAAATTGAACCAATTCTGGTTGTGTCCGGTATGCTAACAACATTAGATTGGCGGCTACAGATAGGAGAATTCTCATTTCTAGTGACAGTGATATTAACATAAGCCTGGGCTCTTTGTGTTGTTACGGTTCCTGGTGCTGTTGCTTGTACTAATAACTAAAACATAAAAATATAATTATAATATCTTCCAAGTAGTCTGAGACTATAATCATAGAGAGAGACAAATTAATATATGGTTCAATTTTATTTCAATAAATGACTTGCGTGTAGAGGTCTTTAGATGTGGGAGGAAACCGGAGGACCTGGAAAAAACCCACGAGACTGAACATGCATCCCATTCCTTGTCACATACCATCTTGGGATCAAAACTTGAATCACTAGGCATGACACAATGATCCAAGTTGCAATCATTAGACAACTAGACCACCCAACTCACCATATTTTTCTAGGTGACCTGTTTATTTTCCCGTTCAATTACTAAATGTAATGGAAACAATGAATCAAAAATGAAAAAGCTTTTTCAAATGTGAAACAATGGCTAACCTGATAGAAAGTTAAACTAGAGGAGTCTAATGTTAAGTCCCTCTTTATGGTAATAACACCTGTATTGGCGTTAATTTGGAAATATTCTGGAGCTGTACCATGGGCAATAATACTATAAGTTGGTGTCTGAAATACAAACAAAAAGTCAATGAAACACAGTATATATTATTGTCACAAGGGCCATTACATACTCTTCGCAGTGTTTCGTTTTATTAGAGCTAATCCCACTACTCACTGCTGTAAAGAAGACAAATTCTTGTTCTAAATTATGACTGGCCAATAGTCTGATTAACAACCAATAGCTAACTGCGTAACAATACCAAACAGAGCTCCAAATTGGACCAAATATGTTTACATAACTTTACGTCATTACTCACAATTTTATTATGCCCAATTAACCAGTGCATAGCAGAATAGTGCAGAAAACCATATTGTGTGACAAACAAGGCTATCAGCACGAATATAATTTAAACAATACTGTTTTAAGTCGAACAACACTTTTACCGTTTTTAATACCTCAAATAACTGTCCAAAGTTTTAGGGAAGGCCCCTGATTGAAAGAAGGGCTGTCATGTTGCTGTGCTTGGGAATAGATCTGATTGAACGGGAAGAATAGACACACTCCCTCAAAAGCGCAAGTATCAGAAGCTAATCCAGCAATGGCCTAGAGAGGGATTTCTTGGGCCATTGCTTCAGGAATATGGGGCCATTATGTGTTTCAATATCTTACACTTTTTGTCTGGGGACCTATGATTGTTAACCATTTACACTGGTGGTATTCATGTGTTAACACTCCCCGAACCCCCCCACCCCAGGATCACAGAAATTGTCCATAACCATTTCTCATCTATAGGAATGTGAATCTAGCTGTACAGTGTACCTGAATGATTTGTCCTGTCTCTGATTGTGCACTTCTCCTGCAATGTGTGTTTAAGAATACTAACTATTGTTTGTGCTAAGCTTGTGCTCACAGCTTGTGTTAATGGCTGATTTTCCCACAATGTCTGAGTTTAACTATAAGTAATGTACTCACTCCTGGTTGTGCTATGGTTGTGATAACAGGTTGTGCTAATGGTTGATTTTCACTTATCGTCCGAGCATATGATGGTAAAGTAAATGATAATGGTCCAGCAGATCTTGTAACTGTCACCATCACAGTGGTGGTACCAGTTCTAGCTGGGAGTCCTCTATCAATGGCGTTCACTAGAATCTGAAAGTAGAAATATCAACATCATCAGAATTCAATCAAAAAGAACATTTGACAAAATTACCTGAATTATAATAATAAATAATATATTTGTAAAGCTCATACACTCCATCTTGTGAAGCTGTTCAATGACACTGGCTTCAAAATGACATTTTGTTGGGTTTTTTAAAATATTTTTTTATTGTTCCATACAAATGTACATTAATTACAAATATCTCTTTCCCTACAAGCTACAAGATGCCATTTTCAAAATATTGTATTCTTTACATATTATCAAACAGCTTAGCATTCATATTCTATTTTCTATTAAAGATATGTATGTTTCCATTTTTCATATATTTGTATATTTCATTTCTGTAATAAAAATGAATAAACTTCAATAAAGCTTGGAAATTAAGGGAGTTGCCTGTTATACTACTTCGGAAGATGTAATATTTGCTACATATGATAATATTTACAACATGGGTTGTCTCCGGTTTACCAAGCATTATATCATTACATGTAAAATGGACATTACATTGACATTTATGCAAGTAACATAAAACAATAATAGGCCAAATATGTAATATTTGCTACATATGATAATATTTACAACATGGGTTGTCTCCGGTTTACCAAGCATTATATCATTACATGTAAAATGGACATTACATTGACATTTATGCAAGTAACATAAAACAATAATAGGCCAAATCGACATAAAACTAAATCAAAATATTCTAATATAATGACTTTAAAATTTTGTAGGTTATCCTACCATATATAGGTTGATGTTATCATTGGGAATTGCCGTCAGCAGGTTGATGATACCATTAGATGGATGAATGGCGAATCGGTTTTCATTTAAACCATTCGTTTGCAATGAGAAATCAAATAAACTTCCTGGAGCCTGCAAAAGTTTAAAACAATAAAAATTGAGATAACAGCGCTACAAGTTGATTTACAGTCTTATATAGCAAAAATTCATAAATTCTGAAAGAATATCATTGTCCTTCTTGATGTGCTAAATATTGAGATGCTGCATCCTGTTTTAGGTAGCTTAATCTTACTTTAGATGTTTTAATCGGACGTTAGAGAGAGAGATAGAGAAATGGGGTTTAACTTCCACTTGACACAAACTAGGTCATTTCCGGACTAACATGTGGTTCAATTTCATTTCAATAATTTGATTGCGTGAAGGGGTCTTTAGCAGTGGAAGGAAACCCCAGGATCCAGAAAAAACTCTCTTGGTTGGACGGACGACCCTACAAGCAGAGTAGTGAAACCACATCACCAGACTCAATGACAGACCTTATGATCTAAAGCCCACACATATAACATTTTGCCCACCCAATCGGTACTGTAGCATTTTGAAAAAATTTCTTTTTAGTAATTCGCAAGTCCAAACGATGATTTCAAAGGTGATATCTTGACATCTATTGATGGAAATAAATACAATATAATACATATAACCCCTGAACATGTCTGCTGTTGGTTTGTGAGGCTTTAAATTTAGTCTCATGAAGTACTGAAAATAACTGTCTACCATGTGTGTTTTATTCAAGTTTCCTCCAACAATTGAATCCCCCCTTGTCTGCAAGCTAATTATATCGATCCCAAGACGACATAGTGTGTATTGCATGGATGTTTAGCCCCATGGTTATTTGTGACAAGGAATAGTATTGATCCCCATATCCACTCAACACAAACAAGGTCATGTTGGGACTAACATATGGTACAATTTTATTTCAATAATCTACATACACATAGGGGAGAAAAACCCATGAAGTTAGCCAGGCAACCCTACTCCTTGTCACATACATGTGTGGGTTGACAAACCTTATGATCCAATGCTAACATTTTAGACCCCCCAAACACTTAACGCCCCCTAGAGACAATAGAAAATCATACCACTGTATCAGCGTCTGTAGCATTTAAATCAGTAATAAATGATCCCCTTGGTAATGTTGAAGGTATTGTCACACGAATAATGTCATTGGGTACAAACTGAGGTGAAAATCGATTGCGTAATACGGTGATTTTTACTGTGGCTGTTGCAGAAAGTCTTGGATCGCCTCCATCACGAACCACTACACGAGCCTGAAAATGAAATTAGTAATAAATATCCCTGTAGTATAACACATAACACAATGTAACACTTTTGTAGACTTTTGGTTGAGCAATTTGCGCATACAAATTTCTTCATAATCATATCACTGTTTTTGTTCTTATTCTTCTTCTTAGGAACGTTCCTCGCAAAAAAGCCTAACGCTTTGCCATTTCAGCTACAGTACAACCAATATGAAACGTGACATGTTCCTTGTACAACTGAGCATTGATTGAACGATTTCATAACTTACTGTGTAGAGAATGTCTGTATCATCAGCTAAACTTCTGCCGGGCACCAGACTGATCAAACCATTAGTTGGACTAACTTGGAAAAATGTTGGAGCTTTATCATCACCAATAAGAGTGTAGGACAATGTATTGAATGGAGCCTAGAAAAAATATGAGAAAATATAATATCATTAGGCATGAGACAGCTCATTTTCCGAGAAAGCGTTTTCACATTTGCATTAGACCTCCTTTTTCGCCAAAAAAAACATGTACATTGAAAACGGGCCTAACAATGTTCATGTCCAGCAGACGCATTTACCTAAAAGGGCATATAACTCTAACACAATATCATAACACTTCATCCATTTGACAATTAAAACACGAATTAGAATTCAATATTGGTTAATTTCAATCAATATAGAATAATGTTATTGTTACTTTATTATAAAAGTATGGCCTCCTGGATATCCAATGGAGGTCGGGTGTTCGATCCCTGCATTGGCCGAGAAAGTTCATTCCGATTTTCCGGCGTGGATTTCCCCTTGTCAGTGATGCAGACAGAGGGTCTGACAAGGACAGCTGTCTAGTCGTTCGGATGGTACGAAAAACTGAGGTCCCGTTTACACATTGGCAAGCACGTAAAAGATCCCTTGGCAATTGGAATTCGATATAAGAGTAGGCCGTAGTGCCGCTGCCTGGACAAAATTTCCCTCATAGCACACTGTATGGCATATATGCCCGTCTTCATTAGTCCAGTTTAGGAGCAGAACAGTAGGACGTTAAACACCATTTCATTTCATTTCATTTCCTGAATATCCAATATTTAAGACACAATGAACATTTTTAAATTAATATGTGCTGTTCAACCCATTTTCGTCTGTTTTAAGGTTCCAAAGAATATAATCAAACAACAACAACTTACAACAACATCTGCATCACTGGCTGTTGTCTGGAATACTGATGTTCGTGTCTGCATATCAACAGGAATACTAACAGAGTATGGTTGAAAAGAGAATACAGGTGGTGCCGTGTTTCTATTCACTGTAATCGTTACAAGAGATGGTTCAGCAGATCGTTGAGGATTGCCTAGATCATTTGCTTGTGCATTAAACTATAAAATATATATTAAAATCAAACAATTAATGTATGTATAAAATAGTTGCTGTACATAAGATAACAAACCCGCAACTTATGGATGGACAACCTCTAGCACATGCTCAAAACATGGTATCTTTGGCTGATTAGAAGTGGCACATTGCCTCGCTGTAATAATACGGCAATGAGTATTTAGCAGTGGGAGGAAACCTGAAGATCTGGAGAAAAATGACTAGGCTTGACAATAGAACATACTCCTTGTCACATACAAGCTGGGAATTGAAACCATACCACTTGCATTATTGACGGACCTTATGATCTAAAGCACACATGTTAGACCAATAGGCCACCCAACCCCCTTCTTGTTTCCCTTTTTAAATATTAGATTCCTATATTTCTTTACGTGTTACAAACTACAGGTGAGGCGTACCACACAGTTTCTCGTATCAGGTTTTAAAATCTATAGGTAACACCGGACAGACCCACTTTAATAGTCCCTTGCTTTTTCAAAAGGTGGGGAACAATAAAATATGCTTAACACAAAGGAAATGAATTGTGCAGCAAAAGTAACAGAAAGCATAACGGTACACACTCAGGTTTAGAGGGAAAAGGTCAGGTTTGCCAGAAAAGGATATGCACTTGCACAAAATGCATTTAGGAGCTGTTGTCCTAGTGAAAGAGAGAGAGACCAACATGTTTCAATTTCATTTCAATAATTCGCTTGCGCGTTGGGGTCTTTAGCAGTGGGAGGAAACCAGAGGACCCGGAGAAAACCCACAAGGTTGGACAGGCGACCTTACTCCTTGTCACGTACAAGCAGGGAATCGAAACCACGCCAGTTGACTAAATGACAGATCTGATACAATGAGCATGCGTTAACCATTCGCCCACCCAACCCAAGAGTTTTGAGAATGTAAAATACTTACTGTAAATGTAGATTGTCGTTGATTGTCTTCTCTAAGAGGTTTCCGTAATCCAACAATACCAGTTTCAGAATCTATCATAAAGAATTCTGAGCTAGCTTGGTTATTGTCGCTCATACTGTAACGTACCAAATTGTTGGGTGCCTAAGAAAATTTAAGAAAGATATTCCACTAACATACATTTGAATAAAGATGAAATCTTTTTTTAAAATAATTCTATTTACATATGTCTTATGAAATATTAGAGATCAAACTTCAGGTAGAGATACATTCACGTTAATTAACAACTTGTTATTTCGGTCTAAGTAATCACCGATAAGAGAGTTTCTGTTGTCCATAGCGATAGTGCCTATAGTATTGCAAAAAGATATTTGTTATAGATGCACATTCTACACATCATATCCAAAATTCAATAATCTCATAACAATTTATGGATAATTGAAATTTTGACCAAAATGGTATTATTAATCACTGACAAGAGCCTTTTTACTTAATTTTACTTATCCATCATATTGTCAATTTTTTATGGAATTCTTTAAATTTTGGATATGGTGTGTAGAGTGCAGAATATGCAAATCTATATAACATATTTTTCCTTGTCGGTCACTTTTTGCAATATTTTGGGTGACCTTCGGCATAAAAAACCTGCCTTTGGTTTTTGTCTGTATTAGGACTCGGTCATCTGTATTTAAAACCTTTTCAATTTGAAAAGAATATTTTTATTCAATAGATGTCTGAATTTAGATTGAGGAACACGCTATGCCTATGTATAACCCTCTCTCTAGTTAGATACAAGTACAAAATAAATAATACATACAATATATATATACTTAAAATACAGATGTGACGTCATGTTGGTGTACCATTATTTCATATAATGTGCGGTAAACGTGCTAATCGTACGTTATTTATACCAGAAGAAATATTAGATTGAAATGCACGTTCAGAATAGTGTCTGTTTATATCATAAGTTGTTTGATGGTCTCAAGTAAGACATTGCGCACTATATTGATGCAACACTCAGGCTTATGCCCTAGGGAGATATCAATATATCACTTGAAGTCTCGCTCTCAACTGTTAAACCACACATACACATAAATTAGGAGAGAGAAATGGGGTTTAACGTCCACTCGACACAAACTAGGTCATTTCGGGACTAACATATGGTTTAATTTTATTAACATAATTCGCTTGCGCGTAGGGGTCTTTAGCAGTGGGAGGAAACCGGAGGACCCGGAGAAAACCCACGAGGTTGGACAGGCGACCCTACTCCTTGCCACGTACAACCGGGGATTCGAAACCACGCCAGTCGACTCAATGACAGACTTTATGATACAGCGCGCGCACGCTAACCATTCAGCCATCCAACCCCCCCATAAATTAGGATACATACAGATATTATTTTTTTCTGAATTTTGATATCATTTAATATTTTTTAATGAATTTCATAATTAGCATCCTACTGTCAAAAAGTTGATTGCAATTTGTATTCGTAACATAATTCAACAGTGCATTCAATGATTATGGTTTAGATTTTGATCAAAAATAAAAGTTGAGGAGTACTATAATATACTTACCATATCATCAAGATCTGTTGCTGTAACTGTAGCCACACTTGTACCAACTAAGGCTACCTCACTTACACTACCAGAATATGACCTTGATGTAAATGTGGGACTTAGTAAATTTCTGTTTACATTAACTGTAACTATGGAAGTATCAGATAATCTAGGATTTCCACCATCTTGAACTAAAACTCGAATCTAAATTAAAAACAAACATTTTTTTTTTTGTTGAAACATCCATTCTTTAGAATCTGTAACTTAAAAGTAACGATGCGTCATTTGCAGTTTCTCACGGCTTAATTCACGCTAATAAGTATTTATAGTTTGAAAGTGATTCCTATAGTGATAAATGACGCATTGAAACTTTAATTTACAAAATGATACATATAAGAAAATAAAGATAAACAAGAAAACTGTGATATGCTATATATAACTTGTTCAATTACATTGGATTAAAGGGACTGAGTAACCTGGGGGTCCCAAGTTGTTTCCCCATGGGATTAAAGAGCTTTCATAGCCTGGATGTAACAAAAAGGTTGGACGTTAATTTATTTATCTATTTATTCTTCAAGTAAAGGTTACAACATGACAATAAATTAATGTATTATAATAAGAAATAGTGTCGCATTACACGACTAGGAAAGTGACAACAATAAATACAGATATGTATATGAAAATAATAACCATGTGCTACATTGTAATGTGGGATGCCATATGAGACAAGCATAGAGAAGTATGATAGCTATGGTGTCATGAACAGACCTTTACTTAGGATAGCCCATAAAGCCTGACGTATATAACATCCGTTGCTTATATCCAATGGGGTCCAAAAACCCAATTTCATTTTGCTGTTCTTTCAGATTTCGTGAATTTTTGATATCGGAAACTGTAAATCAATTTGTAGCACTTTAAAACTAAATATAATTTACAGGTATCTTATAGAACTGTTTTATCAATTTTTATTGTTCTAAACTTTTGCGGGCTCCAGGAAATCTGATTTGTCATTCATCCATCCCATTTTAATCACACCAACGCCTATACCATAATCAAATCGCATGATCATGGCATATCACCCTGTCTCAACAAATTTGCAAAATGGACGCTTGTAGTAATAGTAGCCAACTGGTTTTGTCATAAAAGTCAAATAGCAAAATGCACAACAAATTAGACAAAATTGAAATTTAAGCAGAAAAACAGATGAGTGCACAAATTTTTGTGCAAAACTGAATAGTTTTTCTAACAAGTTCGGCACCAGAAACAAATGGGAACAGACGGACAGGGGGAATAAAAATAGAAAACATGCATAAATAATAGAAATACCCTGTAGACTGTTGTTGGGTCATTGGCAATAGATTGCTTCAGCGAGATAGCACCAAGACTAGGATCAATTCGGAAATATGTTGGTGCATTTTCATCTCCATATATAGAATATGTCAAAGTGTTAAATTCTGCCTGAATATGAAAAACAAATATAAGATAAATATACACTTCAGAAGTGATCATTTATTAGCTGCATGTACAAACTGATCAGCAGTAAATATTCACTGATAGGGATAACATAGTGGCAAGTTAATAAGCCCTCAATATTAACTTTTTTTCCTTCTGCAAATTAAATTCTAAAACAGTTTTTTAAATCATGAAGTAAAAATAAAAAGATGTATAAAGTATATCTGCAGAAAAAAAAATCCTTATATGGTGAAAATGGGTACATAAAAAAGTACATCCAATATAAACAATGCAGTGCCATCAACGCTGTTAATGTGATGTCACACATTGAACTATACTGGGCGTGACCTTGAAGGTCAGTCATCTTGTACAAAAAGAACACTTTCGCATACGACTGTGAAAGAGTTTGCTGCATGTTTATTGTCATAGAAATAAGACCATAAACATATCAGTGAGTTCAACATCTTCAAAAAATGTAATCCCAAAAAACGCATCAAATCCAAAGAAATAGAAAATTCTATTTTTGACTTTAATCAAAGAGATCTAAACAAATGAATCTATATTTTTAAACACATGTTTTCAGCAAGGACTAATGAACCCTACTTCACATATCTTCAAAAAAAAATGTAACAAACGTTCTAACTCAATCATAAGTGCAGGAGGACCGCACTATACACAAACCAGAACTGATAAGATAAATCTGCGGACAAGACAAACCACAGAGACATTGCAAAAAATAAACAACAAATATCAACTTACTCTTGTATCATTATCATAGGCAGTGACTGTTTTAATCGTTGTAAATGTCTGTTGATCTCTATTAATAGTAACAAGATACGGTTCATTAAAGAACACCGGTGGATATTGGTTACGTAGTACATTAACTGTCAGAGTTCGTGTTGGACTGAAAAGCCTTGGTTCTCCCATATCATAGGCCATCAGATCAACCTGAAAAAGTTTGGATGTAGTAATAATTCACTTAAAACAAATGTAATATGTAATGACTACATTCCATTACCATGATATCAGACCTGCCCTTGAGGTTAAACATACATTATGCAAGAGCAAAATCTGCCTATTGCAGGTCTTTCTTTAGGCCTGAAATGTTTTCTAATTTATTAATTAGACATTAATTAACTGATCCAGACCATAATCAACTCTCAATGTCAATGCTAGTCGGTGATATTTGTTGAATTAGGATCTGATTTGCTGCTCAACTTTCATTCATGATTTAATCATGAAATGGTTAATCAAGACTATGTTTTTTATCGTACCGACTTTAGTAATGATGATCGAGGCTAGGCCAAAAATTCAATCACTAAAATCTTTGTTCAGAGTGGATCAATTTGACTGAAATTTTCAGCAAATTCCCTTGTGTCTTTAATTCTGTCATCTATTACAATCTCAAAACTTATTTTTTAATAAAAAATCATATATCTTATGTAAGGTCACAATAAATAGAATTATGAAGAAGACTTTTCAATAATCCGATTTGACATGTTGACATGGCAATTTGCTCAGCTAGAAAATTGAATAATAGAGCATGTATTTATATGCACAGAATTGCCGCACTTGCCAAATCAAACTACAGTAAATGACATGCTATCTGACCTTACTTTAAGATATACAATGAAAAGATCTCCGCATAAGGTACCTGATAATTTTATTATGATCAACAACTAATTTATGCGATAATTTGGAAATATCCTATAAGACAAGCCTTGAAATAAGGCACCTGTAACAGATATAGTGTCAGACACAATCATTTTGGTGCCTGTCATTATGTCTGACAGATATTTGTCTATTTTCGACTTAAATGGTTATTTCCAGGACTGCTAATCTATGTAATTAGAACTTCACACCAGGAAGGAATTTATCTTTGGACCACATCTTATACAAGTACTTTTGCATGAAATTTGTAATGTAATAATAAATCTATTGGATGTCTTCACACCAGGAAGGAATTTATCTTTGGACCACATCTTATATAAGTACTTTTGTGAAATGAAATGAAATGGGGTTTAACGTCCTACTGTTTTGCTCCTAAACTGGGATAATGAAGACGGGCATAGGCAATACAGTGTGCTATGAGGGAAATTTTGCTTGGGTAGCGGCAGTACGGCCTACTCTTATATCGAATTCCAACTGCCAAGGGATCTTTTATGTGCATGCCAATTTGTACACAGGACCTTGGTTTTTCGTCCCATCCGAAGGACTAGACAGCTGTCCTTGTCAGGCCCTCTGTCCTGCATCACGGATAAGGGGAAACCACACCGGAAAATCTGGATGAACTTTCCCGTCTAATGCAGGGATCGAACACCCGACCTCCAGGCTAGCGAACCAGCAAGTAATTTTGTACAAACTTTGTAATGTAATAATAAATTTATGGAATGTCTTCAACCCAACAAGGAACCATGAAGTTGTCGAGTCGTTAGGGCCCCGACCTCTTGACTAGAAATAGGAAACTTAAAATACTCGTTATTACTTACATTATACACACTAGTGGTTGAACCAGCTACAGTTGATCTCAAGAAAACCTGTCCAGTGACTTCATTCACACTGAACTGACTGGTAGCAGCAGATGATGCAATCATGTAGCGTACAACGTTATTTGGTGCCTTTTAAAAAAAATCAAATAAAATACAAATTACATGCGTGTTCATTACAGTTCATGAATTCCCTGCTGTTGAATGGAAAAAGATGGTACAAACTAGCTGTTTGTATTCACTGTTAAACATGAAGATAGAGAGAGAGAGAGAGAGAGAGAGAGAGATGGGGTTTAATATATACCCGACACAAACTAGGTCATTTCGGGACTAACATATGGTACAATTTCATTTCCATAATTCGCTTGCGCGTAGGAGGTCTTTAGCAGTGGGAGGAAACTGGAGAAAACCCACGAGGTTGGACAGGCGACCCTCCTCCTTGTCACGTACAACCGGGGAATTGAAACCCAGCCAGTTGACTCAATGACAGACTTTACGATACAGCATGCACGTGCTACCAATTCAGCCATCCAACCCCCTAAACATGAAGATGAAACTTAAATAAGTTAATAAAACTTAATAAAGTATTCGATATTTTCTTTTTTAAATTCTGTACTAAGAAAGGGCAGCATGTTTTACTGGGTTTCTTAATCTTTGTCAGTGTATTCACAATCGAACAATGAGATGAATTTATATAAGCTCTAGCTTGTTTTCAAATCCATTGTATATACTCATGTCATTAGCTATTCGAAAAATTTAATTATTTAAAGTCCCTGAGCGTGATTTGAGCAATATAGGAAGCCTTTGCAAACTACAATATTGCAAAAATTGAATTTCTAAAAGGCATATCGAGCGATAAATGGATCGATTCCATTCAGTATTGACAAACATGTGACAGAGCTAAAATCCAACAATCAATATGCTGCCCCTTATGTAAATGATACACCTTTAAATTTACTATTTTCTATCTTTTCACTTCTTTTTCTTGACAGAATCTGTCGACAAAACATGTCCACATTTCTTCAAATTTGAACTTTCTGCAATTTTGCAATCTACTGTAGGTGAATTGCCAAAAAAAAGTCTTTCATTGTCAATGAAATGAAATGAAATGGGGTTTAACGTCCTACTGTTCTGCTCCGAACTGGGCTAATGAAGACGGCTTGCATTGTCAAAAGACATTATAAATAAATTTAACATAAGAACTTCTCTGTTTCCCTTCCACTGCTATCAACATCATAATCATCAACATTGTGTCGATAAAACGTTGGACACACTGGCCGAATGATTCGTCCAAATGTGTGAACATACCAGGCGAATCTTTTGGCCAAATCACCAGTTGATTGCATTTCTTTTCACGTCACATGTTTAAACATGGCACCAACCATGCCTTTAAACACACGACTTCTTGATATGAGTGGTGATTGGATAATAAATTCTACAATTGGGCAAATGCTTCTAGTAAGTGGACACACTAGGCGAATATATCAAACATGTTTGATTCGGGCAAATCATTCGGCTGAATGACATTTGGCAGCAATTAATTCGGCCGAATGATTCGGCTAGTGTGTCCACCGCTTAACCTGAATATTACTTTCTGTATATTAACTCATTTGTACTTAGCTAAATTTAGTTATATTCAAAATGGAATAAAGGACGAGTGCCTTTAATATTTTATGAGCAAAAACAAACTTACCGTTGGATCAGAATCTGTAGCTGATGTGGTATATACAGGAACGAAAATACTCTGTGTTTCCAGAATAGTTGATTGAAATGATTGACTTGTAAATACTGGTGCCGCTTGATTCCGTCTGACAACAATAGTTAATGTAGAGTATCTGATACACGATCCCCCATCTGTAGCGGATACTGTCACCTGTTTCAAAAATGTAATGCATATATTACATGCTGTCTGATTGGTTAATATTCAAACAGATTATGTGCAACGACAAAAATTATAACAAGAGAAAATCAGCTTGATTGGAAAAAAATAAACGCAAAACATTGACTGATGTTGAATTGAAAGTCATTTACCGTGTATTGATATGCCGAATCTGTGATGATGTTAGATCGTGTGAATAATCGACCAGTTGCTGCATCAATGGAGAAATATATAGGTGCGTTACCATCACCAACGATAGCATAACTTCTTACAACTAAGTCTGGCTGTAATAAGAAAAAAAGATTTCTAAAAAAAGCTGTGTATACCTTATTTAATTCTTTAAGTTTATTCAATTCAACAGTTTGTATTATTATTATGTATTAAAATTTATTTCGATTCTTTTTTGTCTTATCACGTTATGTTAATTCTATAATTTATATAATTCTATATATATACCTATATACCCAATTGTAAAGCACCCCTGGGGAAGGGACTAAAACAATTTTTTTAAATTAATAAAGAGAGAGAAATGAAGGATTAAGGTCTATTCAAAACAAACTAGGTCATTTTGGGACTAACACATGGTTGAATTTTCAATAGTTTGCTTTAGCAGTGGGAGGAAACCGGAGGCCCCGGAAAAAACCCACGAGGTTGGACAAGCGAGATTACGCCTTGTCACGTACAACTGGGGAATCAAAACCAAGCCAGTTGACTCAATGACAGGCCTTATGATAGAGCGTGCATGTGCTAACCATTCGGTCATCCACCCCCAACTTGAAATTACTAATTAATATTGATATTAATTACAGATAAAGGTAATTAGTTTGGAAAATCAACAAATTCTTCATTTACTTCCACCAAATTAAGCGCAATTCTTATGTGATTATCACAAAACAACCTTGAGGTTTGAATTGGTAACATTAATTATATCAAGATGGTATATTTTGCCAGTACATCTGTTTCTGTTTAAATTTGTGTTTTCATGTAAACAATAAAATCTTTTAAATTATTCATTTGGCGAATATATTATGAATACAATATGGTTCAGTCGGTAAATTGTTCTGCGGCCCATTTGTATCACAGAGCTCCATCACATAAATAAAAATATATAAATTCTCACAGCGGCCCAGTACATACAACAGTTTGACATCATGCAATCAATATTGTAGTTCACATGTAAATCTATTTAAGTGGTTTATTGCAAGACCATGGAACGACTTTACCTCTGTGTTGATTTTGGTCAAGCTGAAGAAATTGTTGTCTCTGTGGCCCATTATGGGTTCAGACCACAAATAAATATTTCTTATAAAAAATGTTCATTTCAATTAGACTGTCTCAGTATGAAATTTCTACTTACGAGAGGATCATTATCAACAGCTGAAACGTTAAAGATGTTGGTATTCGATGCTACTGTTGGTAATATGGTTATATTGCCTGGTAAATTGGTAAACGAGGGACAAGTGTTTCTCACTATCGTTAAGCTTACAGTTGCTTGACTGGAAAGAGATGGGGTTCCTAGATCTCTTGCTTGTACATTCAACAACACCTAAAAGTTTAAGGTAAATTCTTTTTAATCCCACTGAAACCAAACTGGGAGATTATCTACCAATGATATCATTTTGATTCTGTTTTCTTCATTAAATGTTAACAAATCAATTTAAGTACATTTCAACAAATGCAGATGACAATTAGCAGATTTAAAACAATATAAAAACAACTATACATAAATTATACATAAAGTAGATATAGGCAGACAAAATGGGGGGGCGGGGATAACTTCTGCTTAACAAAATGTAGGTCATATTAGGATTAACACATTGTTGAATTTAATTCAATAATTTGCTTGCACATAGGGTTCTTTGGCAATGTCAGGAAATCAGAGGTCCTGAAGAAAATCCATGGTGTTAGACAGGGGACCCTACTTAATGTCACATACAAGATCGGGATCAAAACCAAGCCACTGGACAGACCTTATGATCTAAAGCACACGCATAAGATCATTTGACAACTCAATACACATGGCCATTCAATCATATACATGACTATATAAAGAATAAAAACAAGAGAGTGTACATACGGAACTCGGGATATTCGGATCTAATGTAAGCGATCTTTTAACAGAGATAATACCGGTTGTACTATCAATATTAAAATAGTCAGATGTTCCAATCAAACTATACTCCACAATGTTGTATGGAGCCTGAAATAAAAAAAACAAATAGAACATCAAAATAACAATCACATGATGAGAGAGAGAGAAATGGGGTTTAACATCCACTACAAACTAGGTCATTTCGGCACTAAAATATAATTCAATTCTATTTCAATAATTCGCTTGATTACTTGATTGACATCCTTCAAGGGAATTAGAGAATTCAATTCTGGGTCGTTCAATTGAGTATCCCCAAAGATTTGGGAATACACGAGCAGTTTGGAATAGATGAAATTGAATTGATGTTGTGTTTCACACCCCGGAGTTGAATCAAAGTCCATCTGTGTTTATTAGTAACAATAAATGCAACAGGGCTAATGAGAATATATACGGCATACAGTGTGCCAAGAGGGGAATTTTGTGCCTCACCCACTGAAGCTACCAGTAACAATAACGGATACATAAATTTAATTAATGTAGTTAATGTTGGCCAATCTAAAGGATGAGACAGAAAAACTACAATACATACTTGAATATCAGCATCAGTTGCCATCACTCGAAAAACCTCCACACCAAGGTTTTGATTTTCTGGAATAGCCTCTAGGCTGACGTATGCTGGTCTAGTAAACACTGGAGGGAACATATTACGTTGAACAGTGATAGAAGCTAGAGTAGTAGCTGATCGAGATGGAATTCCACCATCAGAACATTGTATACGTAACTTGAATAAAAAAATAATGTTTACTTTTACTTAGAGACACTGTTGTATTATTTTTACTTAGAGACACTGTTGTATTTACTTTTACCTAGAGACACTGTAACACATTGTATTTACTTTTACCTAGAGACACTGTGACACATTGTATTTACTTTTACCTAGAGACACTGTGACACATTGTATTTACTTTTACCTAGAGACACTGTGACACATTGTATTTACTATAAAAAATAGCTCATCAAGGCAACGAATACACACCCACCTTCAGCTTTTTGAAAGGTGCATGCTAAGTTTTAGGGGGAAAATCTCAAAATCATTTATCTGTAGGGTGTATTCAAGGGTTTGGAGACTGGGGCAGTGAATCAATCTAGACAGTTTTTGGTGGACTGTGAAGCATAACAAAATCTGCCAGTGGAAGCAAAATGTTCAATTTTTTGACATTCAATGGCGTCAAGGAGGATAGTCAAAAAGCTTTTTAGCTTTAGCCCCACTCCACTTGATACCTACAAATTGCACTCTTTCTAGATCGGTTGTAAGTACTAGTAAAAAAAAAAAATAAAAAAAAAAACGATTCTGGATTCGTAATTAAACATACCTGATATTGTGTTCTTGTATCTGATGCTAAAGACTGGCGAACTGAAATTTGGCTTCTTACAGCATCGTAGGAGAAAAAGTTTGTGCCCGGAGCATCTCCAATAACGGAACAAGTAACATCATTGAAAGGTGACTGTCAAAAGTAAAAATACCATGTAATATGAACTGAAGAAAACATTTGGTTCTCAGATACTCCTCAGTCACTTAAAAAGAACCATGTGACCTGTTTTTATTTCAAAAAATAAAAGTACGGCAATGTTTTCGCCAGGTTACAGGAAGTGAATCTAGTATTAAAAATTATATAAAAAGTGAACAAGCGTCCACTCACTTCAGACATCATACAAAACTAATGCTGTCTGTTGACAATTAGCTATGTTTGAAAACAGACATGAAGTTGGTTGACAGACATCTTAAGTGTTTCGATGGTATGATAATAAACAATCTACGCTACATTTTGTCAAAACTTCAAAGACTCATAACTTTGCACAGACTAAATTAATTTGACTGAAATTATCAATTTATTCATTTTTCATTATCTATTTTTGAATTATTATAGTAAGGTCGACAAGCGCCTTATCTTATTCTTACATAATGCATCTATAAGTTAAAAAAAAAGTAGTGAACTTACAATTGTATCCCGATCTGTGTATGTGATGTCACCATTAAGAATTGTACCAACAGGTTCAGTTAGTCTAATATTGTAACTGTGTGGTGCATTAGGAAATTCTGGCGCAAAATCATTTCTTAATACTGTGATGTTCACATTGATTAGATTGCTACTTAACTGGCTTGTTCCTTGATCACGAGCAATAACTCTCATCTAAAATAAAATCACGTACAATAATCAAAAAAAGATAATTTTTTAATAAACAAGCCAACAGTGAGGCTGATGTCCCCTTCCAAAATCCCAATATAAATAGATGACACATATTAATTAATTGCACATGTATCCTTTTCAAAAGTATCGAGCAATCAAACTGATTATAAACTATACACTAAGTTTCATCACCCTTCATCAGTTAGAATCAAAGTTACCTTGTCCCACAGCATCGACTAATGAAATTGCTTGGTTCTGCTTAGCCTTAGCGGAAAATGTTAATAATTGACCTCAGTCAAGACATTCATCTAATGAAAGCCTACACCACGTTTGAACATTCTAATTCAATTAGAAGGAGAATTATTGTGTTCCAAAGTCTCTACCAATCAAATTTGCTTATCGCTCTGCTTACCCTGAGCAGAAAATGCTCATTATCGAACTTAGTCGAGGTATTGATGTAATAAAACTATACACCAAATCACTCTCACTTAATTAGAACTAAAGTTATCGTGTCCCAAAGCATCAACCAATCAAATTGCTTATCTCTATTTACCCTGAGCGGAAAATGCTCATCTTTGAACTCCATCAAGGCATTGACTAAATAAACACCTACACCAAGTTTGAACATTCTAGCTCAATTAGAAGGAGAGTTATTGTGTCCCAAAAAGTGTGATGGACAGACAGACGGATGAACAGACAGACTAACAGACAGACAGACGGACGAACCCATTTCAATAGTCCCCTGCTTTCTTCGAAGGGGGGGGGGGGGGAAAAAAAACCTGTGTGTTTTACGTGGGTGTTTATGGTCATTTACTTTCATTATTATTGATGATACCTACGGACAGATGAAAGTTGATTAATTCATTTCCTGACTTACATTAAATACTGCTAGTCTACAGGGAGAGTAATTCAGAGAACGCCTTGTAACTATCTGACCAGTTTCAGCAATCATTGAGAAACATTCCAGATCTTCTGGTCCATCCACAATACTGTAACGTATAACATTGTTTGGTGCCTAGATAAAAAAAAAAACAAGTATTATAAAAGTCAAGGAGAATATTTTTTTTAAATGGTGTATTTTGTTGTGGGGTTAGTTTTTCTGTTTATCCAATGATGGTATGGATTAGAATGTAATTAATGTAAAACCACATGTCTATTCACTCTCTAGGGCGACCTTCGGATGTAGACTATGGTCTAGACTACAGTCTGAACCAGCACCCGAACACAAATGGCCCTAGCCATTGACTATTCAATATGGTGGCGACCATGTCAGTTGTTCCGTCTGCTATATTTTCTCCTATTTACTCATGTATTTTTAAAAACTGGTTAATTTTCCATACTGCAATGTGAAAGAAGCTTAAAATAGGTTATAAATAGGATTAGTCAATATCAGAATATTTTTAATTGGATTAGTGTCACCCAACCAACTAGATCATTTCACACGTACAGTTTTTTGTGGCGGGCCTATATATATAATCTGTCAAATTCATCGAAAAAAGACGAAAAAAAAAATTCAAACTTAACATCTACACTCCAATGCCCATTCACTAACTTTCAGGTGTTAACATGGACCCTATAATGCCGACCAAGGTGTAAATAACGCAACAGCAATCGGCAATTTTATTATATTTTTCAGAAAATTTTCTCAAGTGTCAGCCATCTTTGAACTATCCCGACCGTGATTTATCGCATAGTACGGCTGGTCACGACCACTGGTTGAACTAAATGTCATTCGCATGCAGATAGTTCGACTATAGTACGAAAATTAGTGTAGTAACATCAGACTTCCATGTTATGTTCCTTGTGATCGTAAATAAAACTACAGGTTAGTTGTTCCTACAACTTTATTGTTAAACTGGTTGGCTTCAAGGTTCCCTCGTTCTCAATAAAGCATAGATGATAGCTGATCAGAATATCTGGGTGAGCTCTGATCAATTCCGCTCATCAATTTCCTTCCCAAATAAGGAATAAGCACACCCATTCTTACAAAACCATGGGGACAACATTACCTTATTTGGTCTATCAACTACATGTCATAAACAGATAGAATTTGATGGATATTTTGACAATGGTCAGGATTTTACCAAAATATAACTGTTTTTTATAATGCATATAAAAATATCATTCATCTTCATCAGTACGTGGGATTTGACTCTATAGGAAGGGTTAACCAATAATTAATTAAAAGATACAATCTTAAGGACCAAAGTACTACATTAGTAAATTGTAGAAAATTGATACATACCAATGGATCGTTATCTGTTGCATTGACTCTGAGTACCACATCACCAATAGGACGGGTTTCTAAAACAGACACTGAATAACTCGAAGAATCAAAAGCTGGAGCTGCGAAATTTGTTCTCACAGTGATGATACAAACAGTGGTAGCAAACTTAAATATAGCAGCGCCATCTCTGGCTCTTATGCGTATCTGAAATCATCGAATATAGCAAAAATACAAATAAAATATCAATATAGTTATATCTCTCACACTACTGTTCTGTCAATATGCTTAAGTTGCAGTAACCGTATAAGTGAGCATTGTTTGTTGTCTGATGTCTTCACAACTACTTGTGTGTCACAGTTTTCAAGAATGAGAGAAGTAAATTAAGAATGCTGAATTGCTCATCAATTTTTACAAGCAATTGTACTTCAGTAGCTGCATAAAAGTTCCTTTTAAAAATATGCTTGAATTCACGTATGATTAAGCCCAATGTGAAGCCACTCTGTGTCACTGTCTACATTTAGAAATTTGAAACTGATAGAAATCAGGAAAAACAGTAAAGTATTAATTTAATCACTTAGAAATCTAAAATTTATATGATGGATCCTTAATTTAATTTTGTCTTACAAATGATGTCAGAAGCCAATTTATGATAAATAAAGGCATACCCTGAACTGATTGGTATTTTCATTGGCAAACTGGTTGCTAACAGTAACAAGTCCATTCTGATTAATAGTAAAGAAACTTGGAGCATTATCATCACCAATAATATCATACGTAATCTGACCAAAGGGTGAGGTCTGAAACAAAATATAACAAAATAATATATGAGAAAAATTACATAATACCAGAAAGAGTTAAAGAGAGTTTAATGTTCACTCGACCCAACCTAGGTCCTTTTGGTACTAACATGGTACAATATTTCAATAAATGACTCGACCCAACCTAGGTCCTTTTGGTACTAACATGGTACAATATTTCAATAAATGACTCAACCAAACCTAGGTCCTTTTGGTACTAACATGGTACAATATTTTAATAAATGACTCGACCAAACCTAGGTCCTTTTGGTACTAACATATGGTACAATATTTCATAATTAACTTGACCAAACCTAGGTCCTTTTGGTACTAACATATGGTTCAATTTTTCAATAATTGACTCAACCAAAACTAGGTCCTTTTGATACTGACATATGGTACAGTAATATTTTAATAATTGACTTGCACATAGGTTCTGTAGCAGTGAGAGGAAACAGGAGGGCCCAGAGAAACACTGCAAAGTTAGGCACTTGACTCAATGACCGACCTTATAATCTGATCTAAAGCATGTTTTAGACCACTCAATCACCCAACTACCATAATACCTGGCCTGCCAGAGAGTGTGAATTAAGAGAATAGAAACTCTGATTAGAATTTTAATGTCTTGTTCAAATTCAAAGGAGAAAAATAAAATCATTTGAAAAATTATGAATGAGCTTTGAATTCTCTTCCTTTGATAACTTCCTGATAATAGTTTAGTTTAGGTCCCAGTTATTCTTTTATAATCTGGATTGTCTTCTCACGTTTTTACATTAGTTTGTACATTATAAACCCTCAAAACAATCCAACTAAACTGCAAGTTTTTCTGAACTGTAGCTAAATGTTTAATATGGGATACTGTGTCTTACTTTACTGCTCCAACTGGGCTAATGAAGACCAACATACATCATGCAGTGTGCTATGGGGGATATTTTTCCAGGACAACAGCGGTACGGCCAACTCTTTTTATGAATTCTGTCATGCGTTCTTTTACGTGCATGCCAATGTGTACACGGGATCTCAGATTTTCATACCATTGGAACGACTAAACATAGCTCCTTGCCAGGTCATCCATCCTGCACCACCGCCAAGGAGAAACCGTGGATAAAATCTGAGGAATTTTCTTGGCCAACACCGGGATCGAACCCAGGACCATTTTAGGATATACATGATGTGAGTTGACATGTCTGTTTTCAGCAATACCTCATTATTGTCTAGGGTAGCTAAATGTTTATAAGATGGCTTCACATTACAAACCCATACAAATAAAAACTATGAGCATCATTTTAGCGCTATAGAAAACTACAATATTGTGAAAGTTGAATTTCCCAACCAATGTTCAAAATAGCGTCCAAATTAAATATTATACAACAATGATCAATTGGGTTTATTTTTTAACAATAGTTAGGAAAATGTAACGATTGTAAACTGGATGCCCATTATCAAAATTATACAGTCAGCTTTAAAATAGACACAAGTACCATTTCGATGACTTTGGATGATTTTAGGCAATTTTTACAAATTTTCAAAAAAAGGTTTGAAATATTGAATGAATTTAAAAGAAATTAGAGCTCAATATTCAAGATTAAATGATACCAGGGTTACAGTGCATATTGAAAACAATCATAAAGAAATTATTCTTAACTTACAAAATCTTGATCTGCGGCTGATACTTGAGTGATTGATGAACCAATACCAATATTTTGAGATAGATCACGATTACAGGATGAACCGGAAAATACTGGTGTGAACTGGTTTCTTCGAACTGTTATGGTTACATAGGCTAGTTGAGAACCCGGTCTAGAAGGATCTCCTCCATCCCGAATAGATACACTACCCTGTATAAACAATAGATATTTAGCTTCGGGAAAAATAAAACTGTACCAGAATATACTATTAATAAAACTCTTAATAATAAAAGGGGGGGAGAAAAATGTGGTTCAACACCCATTTGTCTTAAACTGGGTCCTTTCGGGACTAACATATGGTAAATTTTATTTCAATAATTCCCTCGTGCATAGAGTTGTGGGAGGAAATCCGAGAAAACACACGGGTTGGTGACCATTATCTTGTCACATATCAGCTTGGAATCGAAACCAAGTCAATTGACTCAATGACAGATTTTATGATCTAAAGGCACTCAATCACTCGACCACCCAACCTCCGATAGTAAACCAGAAGACATTGTTTTATGCTATAAGACACAACTGTGTCCAAACGATTTTAAAATTGACCTATTCAAAATAGAGCTATAGTATCCATGATCATAAAAGTTCTAATACATGCAGCATTCATGACGGTAATCTATAATATTCTATCCAATTTTAATAATGTCAGTCAACACTTACAAAAAGAAATCTAAAATGTAATTTAAAAAGCACTTTTTTATGTCTATAATGACAAATTATGTTGGCCTATTATAAGAGCAGCATACATACTATTAAAGATGAATTTTGTAAGAGCTAAATCTCCCTATTGCAGGTCTTTCTTTTGGCCTCAAATGCTATATAAAAAATTAATTAGACATTTCTTCACATGACAAGCCCATTATCAACACTCTAGACCATCGGATGGTCTTGGTTTTCAATGGATAGAAACACAATTGCCATTTCATTGTAACAATGGCTACAGATTATATTGTGAACACTTCAAAGCCCAATAACTCTGCTCAGAAACAAGTAATTTTACTGGAATATTCAATATATTCATCTTTCATTATCTATTTTTGAACTATTATAGCAAGAACAGTCAGTTCTTTATCTAAATCTTACATAATGCATCTTTAAAAACTAAATGAAAATAGTACAAAAGAACAACAAATACACAATAACAAGACATCAAAGAGAGAGAGAGAAATGGGGTTTAATGTCCACTTGACACAAACTAGGTCATTTCGAGACTTACATATGGTCCAATTTTATTTGAATAATTCGCTCGTGTGTAGGGATCTTTAGCAATGGGATGAAACTGGAGGACCCCGAGAAAACCCACAAGGTTGGACAGACGTATAATTCAGGAATCAAAACCACACAAGTTGACTCAATGACAGACCTTATGATACAACGTGCATGCGTTAACCATTTGGCCATCCACCCCCCCCCCCCCCCCCCCAACAAGAAAAATACAACTTTATTCAAGGTATGTAATGCTGCCTCTATAGATGCATTATGTAAGATTGAGATAATGAGCTGACGGTTCTTGCTATAATAGTTAAAAAAACAGATAATGTAAAATGAAATTATTAAAAAATTATTCTGAGCAAAATTATCACTGTTTGACGTTTTGACAAGATGTGGTATAGATTGTTTATTATCTAGATGTATTTTTAATCAAAAATATAATTCAAATTACCTGGAAGCTATTTTGTGTTGTTAAGCGTAATGATTTTTTCGCATAAATAAAACCTGCATTGGAATCAACATCAAAGAATTCTCTAAATGCATTATTACTATCAATGACAGCAGTAGAGTAGTAGATAGTATTGTATGGACTCTAAAATCAAAGAAAATAAATCACAAGTTATTTTTCGAAATGTAACAGTAATATTATGGCTAAATAAGAAATAAAATTTTAAAAAATTCTTTTCAAGTTTACTGACAGAATACGTCAACAAAACAAATCAGATTTGTTCAAATCAAAATCATCTTCTGAAACGATTTAAAGGAGCTGAACCTCTAACTCAATATTATCCATATGGTTTTGGGCACCATTTGTAATCAACAAAGAAAACATATCCCATAAGACAATTCACATTTAGAATGGATTACATGGGTGTAAATGACTTTCATTCAATTTAGACTGTTCATGTGTTTCACCGAAAATAATTCACTAGGAATTACAATAAAAAGTTCAAAATTGAATGTAAATCACTTTATATACATTCATATTACATTAATATGTGCTTTTAGACCCATTTTACTTTATTTTTAGGTTCAAAGAATAGAGCTATACGGGCCCTTTAATAATGATTTATCATGACACTCATTCCTCTAAAAAAAAACCTGAGCTTTGTACATACCAATGCATCATCATCAATAGCTTGGAGCGTGACTATGGAATTCCCTAGCGTTTGTTCCTCATTAATAATTTGAGTATAGTTTTGTTGGATCCAACGAGGAGAATTTAAGTTTCTGTCAACTGTGACTAGAACAGTTGCTGTATCAACTCTACTTGGTACACCTCCGTCTCTAGCTACCACCCGTATCTAAAAAAACAACACATTAAAATAAATCATAAATAACCACACAAAAATCTAACATAAAGAAATACACATAAATACAAGATAAATTAAAACACAAAAATTAACACAAAGAAATACATAAAAATTAAAACACAAAAATCTAACATAAATAAATACACAAAAATATAACATAAAATAAAACACAAAAATATAACAAAGAAATACATAAAATATAAAACACAAAAATATAACATAAATAACCCTAACATAAACAAATACACAAAATCATAGCATAACTAGGTCATTTCGGGCCCAACATAATTCAATTTTATTTCAATAATTTGCTAGCATGAAGATCTCTTTAGCAATGAGAGGTTGGACAGGCAACTCTACTAATTGTCAGATACAAGCTGGGACTCGAAACCATGCCACTTGACTTGATGAAAGACCTTATGATCTAAATGCACATGTTAAACCATTTGCTCCCTCCTGCCACCCAAACCCTTTGATAATATACTTACAGTATATCGTGAAACAGAATCGGCTGAGATCTGATTAGAAGACGTAGAAATCTGACCAGATACTTCGTTAATAGAAAATATATTCGGGGCCTGATCATCTCCAATAATAGAATATCTGACATCTCTAAATGGAGACTGTTGAAAAACAGTGAAAAAATTTGATTATTCATAGAAAAATTAAACATGGCATTCAATCATCACTAAAAAAAAAAAGAATTACGATGTCTAAATATTTAGACAAATAAAACATGGCATCTAATTATCTGCATAAA